CACCCCGTCCGCTGTGGCGACGACGTCCAAGATTGACTTGGCCGACCTGCGTGCGACACGACTTTACCGCCATTTTGTCCCGACTTGAGAACTCGCCGTTGGCTCGACCTCTCCTCCTCGCTCCCGCCACTCTCGAGCCGACGCGACCTTCCTGCCCTCAAGTATGCTCCAGATGCATGGCGGGCAACAAGACCAACGTCGGTCCCCGACCCTGCTCTTGAGCTGATGCTGACTCCAGCTGACCGTCATGCCTCCAGGCTCCGACAACAACAAAGGCGAAGATGAGAGGGGACGCGGGAAGCTCGTGGCGCCTCTGGCGCTGCCTAAGAATCGCAGCACTGGTAACCTAGCTCTCTCCGCCGATGGGACCGTCGATCGAAGCCGGTACCGCATGTCCTTCGAGGGCTCGAGTGCCGGAGCCCTGGATTTTGACGTTATGACAAGGTTTGTCCTCCGTCCAAGCTACATACGCACATGCCTGCCCGAGTTCTACGTCATTCCTGGGTGCGAGTCTGTGATTGAAAGCTGACTTGCCGCAACAGGTCCCCTCACATGCCCGATCATGAACACGGACAAGGACTCTCGGGCCTTCGCCGCATCCGCCAGCAACACCCCCCGTCGCGCAATCCTACGGTCCCAAACTCCAACGCCTCCTCGCGGAGCCCTTCAGTTGCCGCACTCTCTCGATCGACCTCCATGACAGGAATGCTCGCCAATCTGACGGGAACGGTGTCCCTGCCGGGAGGCCCTACCTCGCCAAAGTTCTCCGAAGACCTGTCGCGATTCCCGTCCGAGTCCCTTCACTCCTTCTCTTTCGCACACAAGTCAGAGGATTTCATCCACAACCGTCAGACTGTGTTGAAGCGCTCAATGGAGTTTATGAAGGATCGCATGGGCCGCACCGTCTCCCTCAACTCGACGCAGGCAGGGATTGCGAGTGCGCAAGCAAGAGTCACGGGTGATATTGAGACACAAAACATGCTGGAGCTCCTGGCTCGGGCACAACTAATTGGGGCTGGGAATCTTCCCAATGCCGAGTCATCCTGGGCCACGGGCCCTTTGACCGGCCCGCCCGATATGACGGGGGAGAATATTTTTGATAAGCAGTTCACGCCCTCGTCTGTGGCCGCGGCGGAAGGCCTCTCAGATTCTGTCTCCCCTACTGGTGCAACAGCCCCGAAGTCACCTCAAGTACAGTTTGCGCAGCGCAAGTTGAGCGTGCCCCAGGGCCCCCCCGCCACGGTTGGAGAGGTAGATCGGTCTTCAGAGGAATCCAGCAGGACTCCTACCAATGAGAGTGGAACGACCACCAAGACGTCGCCGCCTGCATCACGGCCAACAAGCTTGAAGCGCACCATGACCGACACGCTAGGAATCACCATGCAGGACAAGCTCATTGATACCATGACCCAGCCATTTATAGCTGGCGGGCCGATTTACGAGGAACCGGCTACCTCCCCTGTCTTGACACATGCTATGCTGCCCTCCAAAAACTTTCCCAGTGCGCTGGGTCCAACCGTTCACGGCCACACCAATAGGTGGGTGCCGGCCGCTCAAGCAATCTTCACGACAGAAGCAAAGCCGCCGTGGACCATCATTGCGGCTAACGACCTTGCGTGTCTCGTTTTCGGCGTTACAAAGGCTGAGGTACGCCGGATGGGGATTCTCGAGGTTGTACAAGAGGAGAGGCGGGCCTGGTTGGAACGAAAGCTGTTGCGGGTAGACGACGCTGACGATGCTGCGGATGGTGCAACCAAAGGCTCAAAAACAAAGAACCCGGCAGCGTCGGCAGCGTCGACCCTTCTTGGCAGCAGATCTGGCATTACGGCCCAGCTGTTGAGCAAGCCAAACTCACGAGCACAGCCACCCAAGTACTCTCAACGACGGGCGCAGACAGTCCACAGCGGCGACCCCAGCCCCCCAAAAGCGCGAGGAAGTGGTCAGCACCGCAGCAACCTTTCACGCGGCGTATTGCTGTGCGGTGACGTTGTTCCCATCCAGAAGCGGAACGGCGCCACTGGGTCCGCCAGCCTGTGGGTGAAAGAGAAGCGTATCGGGCTTATCTGGGTCCTGGAGGAGATCCACGAAGACGTCGCTAACATCGAATTGGATGAAGAAGGCGCAGTCAAGGCAGTTACGGGCGCTGCTGAGCCTATCTGGGGTCCCAGATCGGTTCGCCCTGGAGTCGACGTTGCCTCTTTGATACCCCGGATACCGCGGCAGGGCATCGACCCCACGATCGGCGAGATCGACTTCGCCCAAGTCAATAAGCGCAGATACTTTACCTGCCCGGGGTCTCATCGTGTGAATGTTCCCTGCACCGTGGAGCAAGTCCGCGGCAAGCTCGAGCTCCGGGTGTCCACGTTTCCACACATGGCGGGCATCGTTGTGGTGGACCCGGCAAGCCTGAAGATTCGGAGTTCAAACTCGGTCTTCTGCGGCGCTCTGTTCGGCTACGAGAAGCCCGACGGCATGCCGATAAATGCCCTTGTCCCTGAGTTTGATAAGATCTTGGACATCCTGACCGAGGAGGACGGTCTGCAAATGCTCGATGGCATGGTTGTTCCAGAACACCGCTTTCGACGGGCGTCTGCATTCTTGGCCCTGAGAGAACACCGTCCAGATGCAGGCGCGTTCTTTCTCCAGCCAGATGGTTTGCCTGCGAGACACCGCGATGGATCAGACCTCAAAGTGGACGTACAGATGCGAGTCGTCGAAAGCGAGAAGCAGCCCAACCTCGCTGACGAGACGGTCATCGAGGGCAGTGACGAGGATGAGGCCGCTGAAACCGACGACAGATTCTCGTTCACGCGAAAAGAGATGGTGTTTGCTCTGTGGATTACGTATTCACGGCATCTGCATGCTCACGCTCATCTCGACGTTGACACTGCAGAGGATTCAGGGACCGACACGCCCCTGCATCAGCCATCGCCTGGCCAGACTCCGCCGCTGCATACGCCTCAAGAAATAGCGTCGGACGAGGAAGCCCCGAAGAAGGAAAAGTCCCTGGTGCCGACAACGCTGTCGAAGCAACTCAAAGACGCGGCGATCAGCGCTGCCGCCAAGCTGACCAGGCACCCCAAGCCGACGCCAAAGTCTGTTGAGAAGCCTCCCGTAACGAGAGCAGTGGAGCCAGCTCGGAAGACCACCATCGATGACTACACAATCCTCGAGGACATGGGCCAAGGTGCCTACGGGCAGGTGAAGCTGGCCCGGCACAAGACTACAGGGAAGAAGGTAGTGCTCAAGTATGTCACCAAGCGCCGCATTCTGGTCGACACCTGGACCAGAGACAGGAAATTGGGCACTGTTCCTTTGGAAATTCATGTTCTCGACTATCTGAGGCGACCCGAGTTCCGGCACCCCAACATTGTCGAGATGGAGGGCTTTTTCGAAGACGATGTCAACTACTACATCGAGATGGCCCCGCACGGGTTGCCTGGCATGGACCTCTTCGATTACATCGAGCTACGAGCAAACATGGATGAGGCGGAGTGCCGCAGCATCTTTGTGCAGGTAGCACGGGCGATTCACTTCTTGCACACCACGGCTCTCGTCGTTCATCGTGACATCAAAGACGAGAACGTTATTCTCGACGGCGAGGGAAACATCAAGCTCATCGACTTTGGAAGTGCAGCATATATCAAAAGCGGCCCCTTTGACGTGTTTGTGGGCACAATTGGTAAGTTTGGGAACAAATTACCCTTTGCTTGAAATTTGATCTACCTAACATTTCCGCCTTGTAGATTATGCTGCCCCAGAAGTACTCGCTGGCAAGCCGTACGGTGGCAAGGAGCAGGATGTCTGGGCCTTGGGCATTCTGCTCTACACAATCATTTACAAGGAGAACCCCTTCTACAGCATCGACGAGATCATGGACCGCGACTTGCGCATTCCGTTTACCATCAGCGATGAGAGCATCGACCTCATCCGCTGCATGCTCAACCGCGACGTCAAGGAGCGGTACGACATCAAGCAGGTGCTGGAACACCCGTGGTGCAAGGCGGCGGATGCGTCAACATAGCCGATCCGATGCAGTGGCTGGTGACTGAAAGCTGTAGTTGTGGCCGTGGCCAGTGGGACGGACATGCCCGGAGCAGAGACGTCCAGAGCATGCTTTTCACTCTCTAGATGGTGTGGCAATTTTTTTGGCCGTGATACCCGCATTGAAGCCGGCTCGGGCTCGAGTAAATTTGGAGAATCTGGGCAGCGTGGAAGGATACAGACGAGGCAACTGTACGGCGAAGGGGGTGGCGGAAAGACGAGTGCCAGGGGAGAGCATCCTCCTTCCGCCGGCACCGTTGATGATGGGCAGCGCAGCATGCATTTAGGGACTAAGCGAACGGGGGACGATGGGCGGGCTATATAAATCCGTGAAGCATCATAGCGTTGCAAGCAATATCATCCAGTCCAGTGCTGGAGGGAGCACGACAAACTCGCAGTCTATAAGTACATGGGGGTCTCTGGGCGGCGCCCGCAACCGCACATTGCGCTTGTCGCCATTGAGACATGGAAGCGTTTGACAAACGTCGACATCATGGCCCGCCCCTTGGTTCCTCGTGCATAGACATCCAACCCTCAGTGCTCTCTACCATGTCCGACTCCAACAGCGTCAATGATACGCCAGCTCCGGGTTCGCCTTGAAGTTGCAGCGGCAGCGGCACTCGGGCACGGGGCACTCGACGTGCCTGGCGAACCACTGCCTGGCGTGGTCGAGGTGCAGGACGTGCTCGCAGCGCAGGCAAAAGGTCGGGAAGCGGCCGGCCATGCGCGTCTCCTCCTTGTCCTCGGGCTTGTCGGAGCGCGGCACGCCGACGACCTCGAGGCAGACGACGCAGCGGGGCAGGTGGCGGCCGCAGTTGGGGCAGCTGACGCCGGCGTTGATGCTGGTGGCGAGCAGCGGGTTGCGCGTCTCGAGCGCCGAGGGCGCGGTCGCCGCACCACCGCCGCCGCCGCCGCCGGAGCCAGCACCCTGGTTGGCGAGGGACGTCTCGGCATCGCAAAAGACGCAGCGCAGGGCGATCTGGCGCGAGGGGGGCTTGATGGTGGGCACGCCGTCGCGCTTGGAGCGCTTGGTGGACTCGACCTCGAACTTTGTGCGCTGGAAGAAGAGGCGGTGGCGCTGGAGGAGCGCGCGGTAGGCGTTGCGCCAGGCCCGGCAGCGGATGTCGTCGATGTAGCGCGGGTAGCACGTCGACAGGACGAGCGTCGCCGTCTGCACGTCGTGGAACTTTTGCACGTACCGCGCGAATATGTCCACCATGTTGTCGTTGATGCCCGTCAGCGCGATGCCCTCGATGTCGCCGTCCTCGACCGCCAGCGCCACCTGGTCCGTGAGCCACTTGGTGAGCTGGTCGTCGTCGAAGTTGCGGACGGCCACGACGGCCCGGTCTGCCAATGGCAGGGAGCGCTGGTTGGCGATGGTCGACCAGTCCCCGGTTGCGATGAGCGATGATATGGCTCTCAGGTAGGGGTCCGTCTTGGATGCCACGGCGTCGTCAATCTCTAGCTGCTCCTTGGCGGACTGCCGGTTGCCTCGGCCGATGAGCTGCAGCGCGAGAGACACAAAGAGCAGCTCAGGGTGCCTCGAGCTCGCCTTTTTCAGTATCTGAACGGCTTGCTTCGTGTCGCCGCGGAAGAGAGCTCGGGAGGCCACCATGGTGTGGATAGCGGTAGGATACTCCGGGTCGGCTTCCCTGTCGACGCCGCTGGGATCGTGCTTCTGAGGGTCGCCCCAGCCGCATATCTCCAGACAGAGCTGCCGATGGTGTGGCTTCCTCGTGGAGACTCCGTCAAACTTTGGAAAGCGGCGCTTCTTGCAAAACTGCCCGATGGCCCGCTCCCATTGCGATGCGTCGGGGACGGCAGTGCCTGGCGCAAGACGAGTGCTGGGTGTTTTGCCTATGTGGCGCACCATTAGAAGACAGGCACTGGATATAATCCTGTGTGATCCACTCACCGAGGTCGTTGGTCCAGATCGCATGTACTCCTAGGAAGCTGAGATCCATGTTGCCCAGCAGCATGCCGCCGTCGTCAGCAGCATCCTCCGCATCTGAACACAAGTCAATATTTGGTCGTCACTATGTCAACGAGAACTCCTACCGGCGATCCAGTCCCAGATGAAGCGCTTCCACGGATCGTCTCCGATGACGCTTCGGTTCTCAGCCGCATCAAACAAATACTTCTCCTTGGCGCGGAGAGGCATGATGTGGTCGACAACGCATAGTGCTTGTCGAGGCAGGCCCTTGGCGGCCACCAGTGTCGTCAGGAGCCCTTCGTGGATCTCGCGACAAGATCCGAGACTGTTGGACGCAAGCGAAATCTCATTTGGCCCGTTCCCTAAATGATTGGTGTCGCCGTTTCGCGACGTCCCATCCTCAGCATGATGGGCCGACTCCGATTCCTGTCGCACGTATGCTCTCAATATTCGCAGCTTCTGTGCCACGGAAGTGGCTTGGTTGAACGCCTCAGGCAGCGGAGTCGTGATTTTGTTGAGCTGCTCGGCTTTGGTAGAGGTGACAGATGAATTCCTCAGGGCGGCGACAAGCCTCTCCTCGACGTTGCTACTGTCGGGCCCGAAAATAGGTACCTCGGACAGAGTCTGTTCGGCGAGGAATGTGCCCAGCATCTCGACCGTCTGAGACGGCTCAAACTGCATCGTGTCCAGGTAGGGGCCGCCTTCTGCGTTTCATTAGAGCTTGCACAATAAGTTCGGACACTCGGCGTACCTTCTAAGCCTCGGTAGGGAGCCTGCCAGGGGATAAAATTGAAAACGTGATCCGAAGTGCGCGATGGCTGCTCCAGAACGTCAAAGTTTCCGTTGGCTCGTAGGACTAGAAGCCTGGGGCGTAGCGCCGGCGAGCCGAGGGTCATCCAGTCAAAGGAGACGATGCGATCGTTTCGCCTGGAATTGTCTCTGTAAGACACATCCATCTCGTAGGAGCGCTGGACCTGTAGCAGCTCGGGGCCCTGGGGTGCGGTGCCAGACGGCGGCGTCTCCTTGTTCGTCTCTAGGACCTTGAGCTGACCCGTTGGCGAAAGAGCCGCCAATAGGCCGCGGCGGTCGCGGCAGTACCGGAGTGAGCGTATGAGGGAGTGCTTGCCCTCGGCCATGAGAGGATCCGAATCGGTCTCGATGACTTGGTCAAGCCGCAGGGCCCCTCCCCATGGCAGCTCGTCTTCCTCGACGGCCTGTAGATAAGTGTGAGAGGCCACGGGCCTCGCAGTGGCTCTCCGATCCCAGATCATGACGCCGGGATGGTCCAGGGCAGACGACGCGAAGAAGTTTTGGTCCGCGTAGTCGATTGCTAGATTGTTATTGCACTTTGTCTGAAATGTCACGACGCTGGTGGGGTCTGTATCATGGTTACTAGGTGCTTGCCGTATGCTCTCACCAACATTGACTCACCTCGGAGGTCGTGCATCCTCACGCCTTGTCCCTTGATGCCCGCAACAAGAGTCTGTGGGCTGTCCTCGAAGAACTTGAGGCTTGAGACGGAAACGCTAGGCTCCAGGCGCGTCCTCGGCTCCACCAAGCTGGACGCATCAGATGGGAAGCCCTTCTTCTGATTTTCAGAAGCAGAGAGGCGGTTGACGTCCCAGACTTGCAGGCTCTGGTCCATGCGCACACGGTCGAGGCCGACCGCCAAGAGCCCCGTGTTGTTGAAGGCGACTGCATGGCAGGTTCTGGCCATCTTAAGGCCAATCTCGACGTATGCGTTGGAGCTGTCGTCGATGCGCAAGAGGTTCACAATGCCGGAGCTGGTGCCGACGGCGAGCAGCTCCGGGTTGGCGGGCGACCAGTCATAGGTGGTGAGCGGCGGGAAGTCGTCGTGCCTGCTGAGCTTGGCATAGTCGAAGCGGCGCCGATGCGCATGCCCGGTCGGCTCATAGAGCTGGACGACGCGATGCTGCAGGTTGATGTGGACGAAGCTGTCCACGGCCGAGTTGGCGGACCATTTGACGAGGCCTGGCTCGGGACGGTCCATGGTCGGCGATTGCGTGGCTCCTGAGAGATGGCGCCGGTTTGGCTGAGACCTGGAGTGGTAGTCGCCGCTGCCGGGGAGCAGCTCTTGATCTGCCTAGAGACAGGTGGTGAAGGGCTTCAAACACAGGAGCGCGGCGAGGCCATCAGGGAGGGGTTGGAGCCATGGACGCGGCCGCCGGGCTGTCGCATAGCTTTGATGGGGGAATTGAGCTTCGTGGCGACGGAGAACAACTGTAGCGCGGGCCAGAGACAGTCGAATGAAGCGCCTCGTGAGCTGGGGGAAGCTGTGATGAGCGTCGCGCAACCCCCACCACGGCGTGATGTGATGATGCCGGACGAGGTGAGGTCGAGCTGGGGTCGATTGCCGCCCCCTGATTGGTCGAGTGAGGGTGCCGGTGCGCTAGTACCAGTCGAGCAGACGGAACCCGTTGCGCTGATAAGATCGGGCGCCTCTGGAATATTCCCTTCTTTCGGCTCCCCCCCACATCAAGCTTCACAGCGACCAAAAAGTCCGCCGACTTTGCATCCTCTGCGCACGGCGTCAGTCACTTTCGTTGCCACGGCCATTTGGACTCTAGAAGGGTCAGATATTCCGAGCCGTGCCCGGGCCTGCGCACACCATGGGTTCCAAACGCCCTCTCGCCGACGACGCGGGCGACCACGACGGCGAGTCGTCCAACCACCCCAAGCGAAGAAAGTTTTACGGCAGCGGCAAGCACAAGGCCAAGGAGGGCACGTCCGAGTTCGCAAAGAAGCGCGTGCGCAACATCCAGCGGCTGCTCCAGAGCAAGGCCGACCTCCCCGCCAACGTGCGCAACGACCTCGAGCGCGAGCTGGCCGCCCTGCGATCCGATGTGGCAGACCGGGCCTTTCAGAAGAAGCGGAGCGCCATGATTGCCAAGTACCACATGGTGCGGTTCTTTGGTGAGTAGCTTTTGCGTCGGACGGCGCCTTACGATCCCTGTCGCAGGTACTGACGCCATTGCAGAGCGCAAAAAGGCATCCCGGCTGGTCAAGCAGCTCAGGCGCCAGATCGAGTCCGACCCCAACAGCGACGACATCGCCTCGCTCAAGCAGCAGCTCCACGTGGCGGAAGTCGACGAAGCCTACACCCAATATCACCCGCATGTCGAACCCTACATCAGCTTGTATGGCAATGCCAAGCCGTCTGACGGCGACGAGAGCGCGGACAAGACCCCGGTCGCCAAACTCGCGCTCAAGGCCGAGCGCCCTCCGATGTGGGCGGAAGTCGAAACGACCATGGAAGAAGGACTAGAGGCTCTCAAGAGGCTGCGAGAGCGGAGATCGGCCGACGACTCGACGCCCGCGCCCAAGCGCCCAGCGCCGAAGATGTCCTCGGGGGCCAACAACACCCCGCTGAAACCGCAGCAGGAGCACAAGCAGAAGCACGAGGCGCAAAGCAAGCACCAGCATGGGGACAAGAGCAATCCAGCGGGCGCCGGCGAGCGCGGTGCCAAGACTGCGCTCAATCGCAGAGAGAGAAGGCGGCTGATGCGCGAGACCATGGCCGCAGACGAGGACGCAGACTCTGACGGCGGCGGCGGCTTCTTTGAGGAAGCGTAAGGCGCGGGGCACAGTCGAAACGGACGGGCAGGTTAGGACGTGGAGGAGGTCCGATTTTGAAGGCTATCCTCTTCTTTTTGTAGATACGGAAGGCAGATACCCATTGGCCCTCTCTGGTGCCAGCACTGCCAGGACAGCACGGCACAGGGCTCACTCACACGTCCAGGCGGCGTCGCATAGCGAATTTGAACTTGAGACTTTGGCACATGGCATTTTCTGTGCAATATTTCCGATTTCCGCGCTCGATTCCGATTGATCGAATGAAAGTCCCGGCTATCTACAATTTGCCTCACGTCGAAAGCCTGGGTGTTTGATCCGATAGGGTCGCCGTTTTTGCTCGTGGACGGCGGTGCAGCTCACATGCAAACGCCGCCCCCACCAACAAACAAACGGCCCCGATTATTATCCTTTCCTGACATTTAGACGCCCGGGTTGTCTTCTCTCTTCTCGCACTACGTCGCCAACAACCGGTCTAGGATTGTACGACCACACTTGGTATCCCGGCGTCATGCCATGACCTGCACCCCGCACGCCGACCTCACTTATTAGCTTTGCTTATGCTTTTTCAACTTTGTGCTCCAGCCTTTCTGCTTTTACTTTTTTGCTTGCATGCATAGCGGACGCCAAACTACCCTTGCTATAGCTTCCCAATTGCTCTCTACGAAATCACAGTACTAGGGATAAACCTCCCAGACCGGGGCTCGTCGGGGGCCATGACCTCAAGCACCAGCAGCAGCAGCATCACGACGGCAGACGGCCCCGAGCAGCAGCAGCAGCAGCTGGGCGTGCGCGTGCCCTGGGCCAAGCTCCGCGCGTGGATCGACGCCCAGGAGGCCCACGAGAGGGAGCGCGGCGGGCCCGCGCCGCTGACGCAGGGCCAGCTCGAGGCGCTGTCGGTGCTCGTCTCGTTTGGCGAGGAGCCCGACGTGGGCGGGCGGAGCCATGTCAGCGAGCTGATGGGTACGTAAGAAGAGTTCCTTTACATATCGGCCATGTATATGCGCAGAGAGAGATATACATATGGCCCGTGCTGCTGCTGCTGCTGCTGCGTCTCAGCTAGAGAAACCCGTGTACGCTGACTCGGAGACGTCATTTCCCCCCCAACAGAGACGCTCCAGGCGCGGCAGCTGCCCCTGCCCGTCTTCCAGAGCATGCCTGTCAACCTGCCCGTCAGCGGCCACATCCAGCTCATGTGGCGGTGCGTTTGCTCGACGGCCGGGTTCGGCTGCTTCCCGCGCCGGGGTCACGGCCTCGACGACAACGACCAGCCGCCGGCGTTTCAGTCCAAAAAGGCAAGCAGACTTTTTTTTTTTTTTTTTTTTGACTGATACTGATACTGATACTGACTGGCTGGCTGGCTGCTCTGTTCTTTTCATGTGTATCTGAGAGGACGGGAGAGCCGTACTCCGTTGGCTTCGTTACGAAAGTTGTTACTGAATACTGACGTGCGTATAGATCGCAAAGCAGTATGCCGCAAAGTTGGCGATGCAGTGCATCAAGGGAGAAACGGGCCAGGCCGTCTCTGCCTCCCCAGCTTGCTCTACTTCTGCTGCTGTTGTTGCTCCTAGTACTACTCCCACTGCTCCCAACCATGCATCTTCTCTAGCCCCCCCTCCTGCGACGGCCAAGCGGAAAACCGCCCCGACCTCCCGCTCGCCAACTCCATCCTCCACGCCAAACCCGCCCGCTCACAAGTCCAAACGAGACGACTCCCCCAACCCGCCGCCGCCCGACTCCTCGTCCGGGGACATCACCACCGCCACGTCGCCCTCGCAGCACCGCGCCGTCATGCCCACCAGTCCAGACAGCGGCAGAGACAGCAGCGAGGATGTCTCCCCTGCCTTGGGTGCCGACTCCAACGGCGTCTTCAAGCAGGTCGCCGACCTCGCCGGGCGACTCGGCCTCGATGCGCCTGCCTACCGCCTCGAGCCGGACCCGCAGATGCCCGGCTTCTTCGACGGGCGCGCCGTGTTCCGCAGCGGAGGGCGCACGCCGCCCGAGGGTGTGGGCGCCGTCACGGCCGTGCTGGGCAGGAGGGAGGCCCGGGTGCTGGTCGCGGAGGGGGTGCTCGCGTGGCTGCGCGAGGAGCACCGCGCGAGGGATGCCATGGTGCAGAGCCTGTGGGGGACGGGGCCGTGAGACGGAAAGTGTGAGTGTGTGTATGTGTGAGTGTGTGCGCTCGCGCGGCGGTCGCGGTGGTATTCAGGGGTCTTGATGATGCATTGAGATGCGATGAAAGCGACGTATGACAAGCGATGGAATTAAATATCATAACGACGTAGGTCTTGGGTATGCATAGTGTGGGGGAGCGTCGCGGGGCTCCCCAGCACAAAGGGATTTCCTCGCCTCCGTGATGTCCTTGAACTGTCAGTGTACTCCTCTATGTTGATGATCCGCGCGAAGGCCCCCCTCTCCCTCCTCTGCCACCTCGCCCGCCGCCACCAGGCCCTCTCGGCCCCTTGCCCTGGGGCACCCGCCCCTTGATCCCCGGCGGCAGGTCGGCCTTCCTCTCGCCGTCCTCCCACAGCACGCCGACATCGACCTTCCGACCCGTCACCCTCTTGAAGAAGCGCGAGCTCAGCACCCCCTCGGCGTCCCCCTCTGTCAGCAGCACGCCGTTGTCGCTGCGCCACCACGCGACGCCACCCTCGCGCAGGCTCGCCTCCACGTCCACCTCGACGAGCAGCTCCGCGTCTCCGCGCATGCCGCTCACCACGCCGTCGTCCTCGCCGGGCACGCCCGCGGAGCAGTGCACGTGGTTGCGCCCCATGGGCCGCAGCCCGCCCGACGCCTCGATGGCCGGCCAGAAGGCGAAGTAGGTGCCGTGCAGGACGCGCGCCGGCACGTTGCCCTGCTCGAACGTCACGGGCTCCAGCAGCGACGACGACTCGAGCCGGATCGAGTGTCCCTGGTTGGCGCGGATGAGCCACTCCCCCGCTGGTATCGTCGCGGCGCCCGGCGAGGGCGTCGGGTTGGGCTTGAGCGCGAAGCGCTGCTTCTCGTTGGTGGCGACGATGGACTGCACGTCGGCGAGAGTGACTTGCAGGGACTTGAGCGGGCCCCAGGCGAGCTGCGATGCCGTCAGTTCAGGGGTTCACACGGAGGGGTTCGTCGTCACGGCACGTGGCATAACACCTGCCCGTGCAACTCCGACAACAGCAACAGAGACTCACCACCTGGTCAAGAGGGGCAAAACCCTCGCCGTCCAACTTGATGCCCGCATTCGCAGCCTGGTGCCTTAGCAACCGCGACAGCGCCCGCGAAACCTGGACGTCCCGGCCCTGCGCGCCGCCACCACCACCGCCGCGGCCTCCTCCCTTCCCCCCGCGACCCCCTCTCCGCCCCTGCGACCGATCCGACCTGTCTCGGACCTTGTCCTCCAGATCCAGGTGCTCCATTCCGCGCGCGGCCTCGTCGCCGACCGGGTCCGCCATCGTCCTCGGCCTGCGCGATGTCTGAGGCTGGTAAGTCGCAACGAGTGGTGACGACCGTCTTGGTGAGTAGATGGGCGAAAGCGCCTTGTGCCGCCGGCGAGAGCTGCTGTTTTCCGTGTGGGCCTGAGATGCCGCCGCTTTCCAAGGGACGTTCGCTGTGATATGCTTGGGAATTCGGCTCAAGGCAATGGTGAGGCGCATCTGCGTGTGATGGACGTGTGTAAAAGTTGACCGACGTACGGCGCTTCTTGGGCTATAAGATGTCGACGGTTGGTGGTGCAAAGCGGGACAGGGGCGCCGTGCATTATTGGTCGCGGTGTGACTCAGCGTCAAGCACCACCGCTAGGCTCACTCACTCAGGCAAAACTTACAGGCAGTTTCATAGCTGAGTCGCCGTCGGCTTGGGTGTAAGTGCATCCAAATTGATTTCATTACCAGATCATCCAAAAGTGTGTGGACATGCATCGCCGCCGTGAAGCTGAGCCACCTTTTGTTCGGGTTTGCTCTCATCTAGCCGTTGCTCTTGGAGTCCATCGACTCATACCTTGAATGCCATTTCTCAAGTGAAATTAGCCAAGAGTCGCACCCGCCGTCACGAATTATATACATACATATGGTACACCTCCCTCCAAGGGCCTTTCATTCGTGGTTGCTCCTCTCACCTCACCTCACCTCACAACGGACCGACCGACGACCACATCACACTACCCAGGCATTTCATACATCCCTCCCGAGACTTGCGCCGGCGCCACGAGCTCCTGTGGTCGCTCCTTCGTCTCCAGCTCTGACCTCGGGCTCGTCTTGTCCGTCAGCTCTGCCGGCGTCCTGTTCTGGCGCCGGAGCTGATGTCGACGACGGCGGCGGCGGAGGAAAAGAAACGCAGCCGCGCTGACGAGCAGTACGAATGCGACGCCACCGATGACGGAACCTGCTATCGCTCCGGCTGATGGCGCCGTTGAGGCCGAGGGCGTAGAGAGTGGTGTTGGTGTCGGTGTCGGTGTCGGCGAGACCGATGTGGCTGTGGACGATTCATCGTTAGATACTTATCCGTCTGTCTGTCCGTCCGACGCCGCATCACTTACTATTCATGTCCACATTGACATTAAACAAAGCCTTGACATCATCGCTCGCCCACTCCACAATCGCCATTCCCCTAACACGAGGCCGCTAGCGACATGAACGAGCATCACATGAGCCGGGGGCGTGAACGGCGACGACCAACCCCTTGTAGTACCAGTCCTTGATGACCTGCGCAGGCTCATACACTCCCGCGCCCGCGTCGTACCCGCCGTCGCGAAACTCCAGCGCCGTCATGTCGAGCACCTTGCGCGCGCCCACCCACTCGTCGTTGGTCTTCCAGTCCCACTGCACCGCCAGCCCGCCCGAGATGAGCATCTGCCGCTTGCCCACGACGGCGCACGCGTGGTCCATCCTCGCGGGCGCGTTCACGTCCACCTTGAACCAGGTGAAGGCCGGCAGCGAGAGCACAAAGGTGTCGCTCAGCGTACCGTCTGCTGAGTTGGTGCCCCCGTGGATGAATCTGGATGGCCGGCTCTGTCGGTGAGTGAAAGAGAAGACGGGAGGAGCGGAGGCGAGCAAGAGAGAAGGGCGGGGAGGGACTCACATCTCAAAGGTCCCCTGAGGGCCTCTGACCCCAACGGCGCAGTAGTTTTCGCGCACCCTCGGCACACTGCCTCCCGCCCGCTGCCAAAACCACTTCTCCTTCACCGTGTCGTACATGGAAACGGTCTGAAAGTCCGCATACCACCCCCCTAGGGCCACAACGATGGGATTCGGCCCAAACCCCGTCACGCACTGAGCCTCCCCGGTTGTAAACCTGCCCTTGGAATCAGCCTCCTTGGAAGACGGGTCCACGACCTCCTCCTTGCTCCAGACCTTGGTTGTCGCGTTGTACGTCATCATGCCGGGAACGGGCTCCGAGTCCGGCCACGTCACGTTTGCGAAGCGCCGGTCCGTCGCCACGTTGCCAAACCCACCAATATACACGCCGAATCCGCCGTCGCAGAACGCAGACGCGCCGCGCGTGCCCAGCGGCCGCCCGTCAAACACCTCCGGGTTCTGGGGCCTCTCGACGGACCAGAGCCCGCCGCCGCCGTTGTTGGGTGCGAATTTCCAGAGCGCCTGGTTCTCGAGGCTGACGTTGGCGTTGTACGACTTTTCGCCGCCGTAGCGGTACAGCACGCCGGCTTTAGCGTCGGCCCAGAGCCCAAACATGTTTCTCGGGGGCGGGTCGTGCCCGGGTATCGTCAGGTTGGTGGTGGAGGACAGGCTCCATGACGTGTCGAGGGGGATGGATATTGTGTTTTCCGCTGCGGGCAGTGGTGTGCATGTCAGTTGCTGGCGATATTCAGACTTGGTGTTCGGGACTCACAAGGGATTGATGGGGCACCGTGCTGCATCTGGCCATCGACATATGTTGACGTCTCGCCACCTTCCATGTACAAGTAGTCGCCCAGGACGGCAACTTCAATCTCACAAATCAGTTTAGCATATCCAAATATTAGAAGAGGCATCTTTTATGCCTAGCTGGGGCTTACTCTTATGCAGAGCCCGTCGTCGAAACGGGTTCGTGTTGTCATCTCGACGCTGGAGAGTGTCGGGTCTTGCCATCGTGGGGATGGAAACGCCTGACACGACTTCCCACGTCAAAGCCAGCCGCAGCCAAAACCCCATGATCGACCGGACAGATTTGGATCATGCCATGCCCCGTGCTCGGGAAAAGACGAGACGATTCGTTCTGGAAGAAGAGCACCCGGGCCCGGGGGAGCTCCTGTAGTACCCATGATTGCGAATGCCTCACTGCCCCCAACCCGACAGGATAACACAACCCAGGATCCGGCTGAGCACGGCTGAGATGGGTACGTCGCAGTCTGTTAAAGTTGCACATGGAGCGCCCCCAGGGATTGTGAGCTGCAGAACCCCGGCTCTCACGGCGGGGCCCTACGCCGCTCCGTCTGCATGTTTGAGCCGTGCTGGTAGTAGGCATGTCTGAGCCGTGCTGATGGTTCATACAATTTACTTGGTACCGTAGCCGCCGTCGCGGGGACTCGAGCATGGATGGAGTTCGTCGAGGGCTACGCGAGACCAGGGTCGCGTCTGCGTCTGCGGAAACCGTCCGAGGCATCCATGGTTAAGCGCCAGCCCTTGCATGCATGAAGAGTCGCCCCCAACGAATGCGTGGCGGGAAAACGAAATGATGAAACGATAACACACGTGGGTGAAAGGGGCGTACTTGGTGCTTCGTGCCCTCCTATACACAATCCACGGTACTGCCACGTCGTTCGAGGGACGGGAGCAGAAACTCTCAAGTCAGAAACGCACTCACTCACAACACATGCATCAACCAAGTACTTGGTTGATGCCATGGACAGACACGCGCTCGACCAGAACATTACTCTTTACTCATTCATCCGTGCGCCTATACCAACTGCCCGACAGCTTCCTCGCATCGACATGGCCGCTCCGAGGGACATGTACCCGCCGCACCGCCGTCCACCACTCAAGCTTGGCAGATCTCACACGCCGCGCCTGCCAACAGTTGATGTACAGTCGCCCGAGGGCAGGGTCAAAACGTCATCATGAGAAACAAAGGAACAAGGACCGCCCATCGTCACTCGTCGTCGTCAGCTGGTGGGGAGCTTCCGCTCCCGGACCAAAGTAGAATAAAAGGAAAAGAAAAAGAAGTAAAAGCCGTGTTGAAAATCGATAACGCCGTGCAGGGTGCTGGAGTTTATACATTGTACATTCGTGAGGTCGGTACACGTCGTTTGTTCGCGCCTTATCTGTAGATGCCAGCTGGCGCGGCCGAGGATGGAACTGTCGAGATCATGCTATCTCGGTTCCTCCGCGTGCCGAGGCTGCTAGCTCTCGCGTGCGTGGTGGCTGCGCTACTTCCGGGTTGCCGCATGCCATACTCATCGGCATGCCGGTTAGAGGAGGCACCAATATCCGGTGTACTCTTTTCTAGATATCTTCGCGGCGGCGCCGGGCTCGAGCCGGTGGGTATGGCCAGGCGAGAGGTGCGGAAGCTCGTCGAAGCCAGCCGCCGTCTCGTCGGATCCGCAGGCTGTCCATTGGCATCAGGCGGCGAAGCCGGCGTCTCTTGTGCGTAGTCGCGGCCCTGGCCACGGAGAAGATTGAGTTCTGTGTTCGCGCGAGAGGGCGCCTGGAATCGCCCCTCGTCACGCTCCTCGCCGACTGTCCCTCGGCGGTTCCGCACCAGCAAAGACGTCCTCCGTCCTTCGTCCACTTCTTCGGTTCCAGCGCGACGGGTCCTGAGTAGAGACGAGGTCCGGCCATCATCGGGCTCCTCGGTCGTGGCTCTGCGCGTGCGCGCAATCATCAATGACGACCGACGGTTGACGCTCGCATCGGCTGACATGGGTGCCACTGACGGCGATGGTCGAGGTATGCTCAGGGGTGTCCCGTTCAGGAGATGATTTCGCCGCTCCTCGAACTTGGACATTGTCCTTGGGCTCTCGTTGCCGACGGGCTTCGGAAGGTTTTGATCTGCGGCAACGCTTTGTCGGCGGGGCGCAGGGAGGCCCGAGTATGTCTTTGGCATCGTTGGAGTCGCGGGTCCGTCCACTTGAGACACATTCACCTGAGCTGGCGGGGCCAACCTCGGTTGAAGCGTAACATCTTCGCCAAGCGCCACGCAGAGCTCTGTGAGGCTGCGACACACGCTGTCGGCTTTCCTTCGTAGCTGACGGTCCGTGACGTTACCTCCAGATCCGACCACGCTGGCTCCGCTGGAGATGGGCCCGGGCTGGCCAGGCACCCCCATCATCGAGGACAGGTTGATCGCGTCATTGGCTGCCGACTCCAGCGCTCGGTAGACGTCCGGGCTCATGAACGGTTTCGACTTGACGAGGGCCGAGACTAGGATAGGATGCGCCTCACGCTGCGTCGACGTGGTGCTCACGCCCTCGGGAGGCTGGCCACCTGGCTGGCGCTTAGGCGACAATGACATGGTTGTCACCGTGGTTGTGGCCGTCGCAGGCCTTTCCTCAGTCAATCTAGAAACCGCGGCTCCAGATGTAGAAGGCAGCTTGCCCGTTAGCTCCAGGCGATGGATCCTTGATTTGAGATCGTCCAGCTCGTCCCAGACCGTCGACGGTGCCGTCGTCGAGGCCGTGGATTCGGTTCCCTCGACGGCCCCAGGGGCGGGGTCGCGATTGTGCGAGTCAAACGTACGAACGAGCGGCGACGAACTGTACGATTTGCCGTGGTTCGGAGTACCAGCGGCGCCCTTGTACGTAGATGACCGAGCCCCAACAGTCGAGTTGTTTTCCGTGATGGATGCGCGCCTGCGCGCATACACCGACGGCTCAGAGCGGGGTTCTTGAGATGCCATCAAGGGCCGCAACGCCAGAGGGGATGGGCGCAGAGTCGAGCTGCCGGCCCTGGCGCGACCAGCATCTTCACCTGGATGAGCCGATGCTGCCTTTTCTCTCATCAGATTCCGATACGTCACGGCCCGCGATACCTCGCCGGTCTGCTCCTCGTCTGCGTTCCTCATCCGGGGCCGGTCTTGCTGGTCGGAAAGACGGCGGCGCAGGCGCGGGGGTGACGTAGTCTGATACGAGGCGACAGCGGTCGAGAGTGGCCGACGATGCGCCGAACGGTGAACGCGGGACTGCCTCTCGAGTCAGTACAGTAATGTAGCCGAGATGGAAAGAACTGGGCCCGATACGACGCAAGCATGCTGAGACATGGGTCGCCTTGGTTGCATCATTGCGCCAGTGGCATGTGAAGTACGCGGTGGGGTAGGGTGGAGGGCGAGCATTCTTGTCACAGCACGCTCTCACCACATGGCAGCCAAAATTGGATATGAAACAGGTGTGGAGGGCCGAGTCGAGTGAGACTTGGGGAAGACTTACAACAGAGCTCTGGACGTCATCTGGGACGGACTCATCTCCAGGCCGATGGCTGGGCTCGTCCCGGGCAATACGGAGGAAGATGTCGCCAGTGTCGTCAAAGTTGCCGGGTGAGCTATTTTGGCGACCAGGGCTCAGTGTACTGGAGCGTCTAGAGTCATCGCTGTATCTGCCTTCGAGGGCGCGCAGTGTGTTGTCAATGGTACCCCGCGCCGAGTCGTCGCCGAGGTCATAGGGGCGCGGCCTGAAGTTCATGTCTAGGGCAAGGCTCTTGCGGGAGCCGGAGGAGCGGAAACCTCGAATGGGAGGGACGCGCACGGGCGTCGACGTACCCGACGGCGCGGCGGTGGTGTTGGTGGGAGGTTTGTAGGAGATGGGAGGGCGGTTCGATGTCGAGTGCCGACTCTCATCCGACGAACTGGACTGCGAGAGACGCTTGGGCAACAGCAGCTCGCGAGGGCCCTGGATGTCGGACGGCGAAGTCGTTGACCCGCCCGGAGACGGCTGAGACGCAAAATCCGCAGCGTGGCGGCGCTGCGTGTCGAGCGACGGAGGAGGGCCAGCTGAGGTCGGCACGCCGTGAGAGCTGCGGGAGGCGGGGGCCCGACGGGCCGGAGGCCTGGTCGACGTTTGCGAGTCGTCAACGGCGACGGCGGCAGTAGTATGTGCGTCTGAAAAGGACGAAGGTCGGCTGGATCTGGAAGGGCGGTCAACAGACGCAGGCGACGCCGAGGAGTCGTCGGTCGAAGTCGGCCTGCTGGTCGTCGCCGATGTCTGACCCGTCGAGATTCTCGAAGGCGACGAGCTCTGACCGGGAGTGTCCCTGCTTCCGGCGGCGGCAAACGACGGAGCAGATCGTTGTTCTTGCACCAGATAAGAGCCTTCTTTTGTCGCTGGACTATGGCGCTCGCCTTGGTCGTCGTTCGTTTCTGGCTCTGCGTACACGGCGCCTTGGTCGGTTGGGCTCGACGTCGTTGGGCCCGCGGGATGACGCGGGGGACTGACGGGTGAGACAGGTAGAGAGTGGTCCAAAGACGGCTGCTGGTGACGCGGGCCCGAATGCTGCTGCAGATGCGGTGCTGCTTCTGAGTCTTGGATCGGTCCGTTTTGGGCGCTGCGGCTACTTGCGGCAGGCGGCCTGTTATCTCGCAGGCGAAGATAGGCGGGGCGATGGGGGTGTTTCAGCGAGGCAGAGGTGCGGCGAGCGGGGGCGTCATCACTGTTGACGTTGTCGCTGTCGACGGCGGCGTCGTTGCGAGAGATGACGATGCCTCTGTCGGCAGCGCTGGGGGAGGTGGTGTTTGTGGCGGATGTGGTGGCCGCGGGAAGGTGTGGAAGTTTAGTTCTGGCTGCGGCAGTGGAGGCGGCTGTGGTTGTAGTTGTGGTGGTGGTGGTGGTGGGCTGCTGGAGGTTGCACGAGGCGGGCCCCGTGGTTCCAGCAGTGGTGCCAGCGGCGCCGGCGGCGGTTGCGCCAGCGCCAGCGACAGAGACAGCGAGCGTCTTGGGCCCGCAGCCAGACGACGTCGCGGCCGCAGCAGCAGCTGGGATTGTGCCACCAGAGGGTTGAAGAATCTGGGCAGCGGCATGGGGGCCCGCCGTTGTGAAACCCGCCATCTCGGTCATGGTGCGCGTTGCAGAAGCTGGAGCTCCCGAGGCATCTCAAATCATGCGAGGTGCGAGGTCGAGGATCCCCGGCCGGTGCAGCTCACCGTTCGACGCGCAGGACGCACCACCTGCACCCACACAAGGTCGTACGCTGCAGCTGCAGCTCCAGCGGCGGGCGCAAGAGGCGCGTGTTTGCCGAGCGGCCTGTCCAATGAGGCCGCGCGCCGACGATAAACAGTCGATGGTGACCGACGCCGGATGAAGCCGACGAACGACGACGACGACGATGCCACGCAGGCAGGCAGGCAGGCAGGCAGGCAGAGGCGAGGCGATTGCACGAAGCGGCACCCGGGTCGGCGGGGGGTTCAAATAGGACTGCTAGCACTGTTGCAGACTGTGTAGTAGTCGCACGCTTGCGGAGCGTGGAGTTGAAACACCTTCAGCGCCGCGTGCGAGGAGTCGTGGCACGGGAAGCAGGGCGTCGAGGAAGAAGCAACGACGCTGCAACACGGAGGCGTGGGCGGCTTCAACGGAAGACAATGGGCGACGACGAGAAAAGAGCGAACGCGGCAGCGCAGGGCCGGGATGGGCGAGCGGAGGGCAGGCAGAGGACAATTGCGGGAGCGCGAGGAGACGCAATTGACCACCACGAACGAGTCGGCGAGGGAAAAGGAGAGAGGGGGGGAGAGGGACGAGGACGATCACGATGTTGAAGAAGAGCACAAGCCGGGGGTGGGAGATGGCCAAGGGCCGGGGGTGGAAGAGAGGGGATCGCAGCGGAAATCAAGGACGACGACAAGGCCTGGCCCTGGGTAAATCGCTTGATGCCCTGGGTTCGTTCAATGCATTGCCCAGTGCCGTACAGTAATAATACCTGGCGGCTCAGACCGTGACCACGGAAAGAAGCGCTGGATTGAAGCGCACGAAACATTAACGCAGGACTCGGCACAGCTCCGCAGCCGTACTAACTTAATGTACTCCGTATACCTCGTAGTCATGGCTCTCGCCTGTCGCGTCCGTCCATTCATCCATCCATGTTCGCATGCAAGGCATGCGCTCGGTCCATGGAAGCACCTCAGCGCCCGTCCAAGCACAAGACTCCCAGCAGCACCGCACAGCGAGCCAGGCCAAGACGAGACGCGACGAGGGGCCCCCGGCAGAAGAGGCGCAGGATCGTGGGAGGCAGTCCTCGAATAAGCTACCCAGGCGGGTGCCAGCTGCGCTACTGCGCGATATGATATGATACATCACCATCAAAGGGGAGAGAGGGGAGGGGGAGGGGAGGGGGGGAAGCTTGTCCCGCCATGGCCCAACCGCAGTGGGTTTCCGGGCTTCCACTCCTAACCAACCTCCATCTCGCTTTGACCGTTGCTGTTGCTGCTGCCGCTTCCCGGCGAGGGCTTCCAACGCGCAACGCAACGTCGTCCAGTGAGGATCCAACGCCCTCCTCGGCGTTGCTGCTGTGCCGTGCAGAACTGACGCCAGCGGATCGCGAAAAAAAAAAGCAAACCGCCCGCCCGCGATGACGCCCGACACGGACCTCCACGCTCCTGCAGAAGTCCAGGAGCCAGGGGGGCCCCTGACCTGGCTCCAGTGTGCCCGCTGCCTCGTCCCGAGGACGGATACCTGCTGTGCAACCTGCACAAAAAGCATCCTCCTCGAAGTGCCCCCATGGGCGACGACGCGAGCAAGCACTCTCGGCAGGGACAGACATGTATGTCGCCGCGGATGCAATAGGGGCAGTTCCAGGCCCCTGGCCGAGCTCCAGCAAGCTATCGCGAGCTAGTCGCGCACGAGAGCGGAGACTTCCATTCGAACGACGAGGCACGACACCCAGGTCCCCAGAGCCGCCAGGGTCTGTGGGCCGTTTGGCCGTTTTGTCCCCAACGCCCGCTCTCAGTTACCAGCCTCCCGAATTCCTCTCGATACTTTCATGTATCGCCTGTCGAGAACCGCATGACCCTCACGTATCCATGGTTCAAACGTGAAAAACCATGCAATCAGTAGAATATGCAGCATGCCGCCTGTCGAAACCCTCGGAGCCGGGCCCAATTCCCATCGCCGCACGCCGCCACGCTCCTGTATAGCTTCCTGTCCGGGACCGAGCGCACGCAACTTGACTCTCTCCTCTCGCACGGACAACCGCTGCCAGTCAGCAGCCCCTGACGCGCCGTTCCGATCCTGGAACCTCGCGTGGAAGACCGAGTTGGTTATCGATCCCGGCGTTAGTCGCGGTCCAACCCTCCGAGGGCCGCGTCTCTTCCGGCCTCCCGACGTGCAAACACGTTGCGAATCCGCGAGCAGCAACCCCGTCGGGCTTGCTTACTCGGCCAAGAAGGGCTACGGCACTTGTCCCGCGCGATCCACCGAGCTACGGCCACATGAAACAGACCAGTTCGGTGCTCACTGCTGTCCCTGCTGCCGTCCGCGTCCATGGCGTTTTTTTTTATGAGTACAGTACGAACACGACATAACGGGACGCAGCATCTCACCACGGCCGAAGAGCCAGTGTACCGTGATTTCCATCTCCGCAGGGCATTCTCAAAGGGCCAGGCGGACGGCCGAAAGATCTCCCTAGCCATTGGCACAATATCGCCCGCGGTTGTAACGGTACGCCCGCGGTTGTAACGGTACGGCCTTGCCCTTTCAGCGTCGTCAAAACAGATTTGGCCCTGTCTGAACTCTGAACCCTCAAGTTCTCAACAGCAGCCGCAGAGTGTGGACCCTGACTGGGGAGCCATGCCACGCCACGAGACGAAACAGTAACTCTCAGCTCCACTGCCGGGACAGGCATGCTGGGGAAGGCGGCTCAACTTGCTTGTTTCGAAAGAGCCTCCGCCGACTGAACATTCTCTCGTAGTGTGCGGAGGCAATAATGTCCTTGGACTCCGTGTGAGAGACCGGCCGTTCGACCTGTGTTCGTCCGTGGAAACATCCAAGCAGAAACATTTACCAGGCTACCAACTGACTCCGCCGTCCCACAAGCTGGAGGCAAGCCGCCTTTCCGGTCCAACGTTTTGCTGCCCCGTCGCCGCTGTCGCTGGCCAACCCAAGTTAGATCCCAGGACCATGCCGATAACTGGTCATTAAGCACCGACGAGAGCAGCAAGTGCTGTACAGTACCATAGAATGGAGAATGTGGCTGCAGAAAAAAAACCTGAGCAGCTGGCGGGGCCACACAAATTAAGGCCTTCGCCTCTCATCGCCGGCAGTTGCTGGTCTCACGTCCCTCGCAAAGCCCCGACACATGCCGGGTGCTCGGCCTCCAACTCCGGAAAAGTAGGGCCCACGGTAAGGCGAAATATGGCCGAGAGTTGTTGGTGGTAGAAGAGCGCACCAAAGGGTAACCTGTCTTGCCTGTGCCCATCTCGAGGGCGCAAGTCTCTGACCGCCAGTGGGGGGGATGTTTAATATGTGGCAATCCGTGGCCGCAATCTGAAGCGACTGGCTCTGGACTCACGGCGTGGATGTCAGTCAAGTCGCCTGGCGGCCCGAGCTCTTTTAGGGCTGTGAGGAATTGTTTGCGTCAACACCAAATCGTGCACCCGGAGAACAAAGTTGGAAGGCGTCGTGTGCCTGGTGACGACTCAGGGGGTAAAGTCTCCCCAAAACATGGTGCAAAGTCTCTGCATATTCCGCGCCAACAAGCTGCACCACAACACATCGTCGCTTTGTGATGTCTAGGCACACCACCATGCAACTGTGACAGCTACATTCCCGAGTGGTACGGTGGTGTCTTTTCCCAGCGTGGCTGGTCCATGCATATGGTGGTGGCCAGAGCCACATTTACCAGTCTCAGGAGACGGACATTGCTCGGCGACTGCAAGTTTGCCGTATATGAACGCTGCATCGTTGTCAAGTCATGTGTAATTACGCACGGCGCCACTGTGAACTATGCCACGTTTCTTCAGAAAGGGGAGTATGTAATACCGGGTGTCCGGTTCCGCGCCAGTTAACACCCGAGAGCAGACGGGATCATCTCGGACGCTTCAAAGGACTATCTTGATGACACGGACTCTCCACTACCGGTCAGTAACACAGGTGGGCAGTATTGTCGCAGACTAGGCAAAAAGTCCTCTTCCCACGAGGGTGTGCAAGAGGCAACGCGTCTCGTTTCGCAGCAAGACTTGACATCACAAGGACACCTTATCTTGATATCCTGGACCTTTGAAACAACCCTGGCTGGCTGTGCAGGGTAAGTATGTGCTCAGGACGGAGCGAGAGGCCTTCCTGGGAACCTACACGTCAGACATGCACCGCCGACTGTACGAACGCGAACATGAAGCGTCAAGCCATCTTTTTCGTGCAAAAGGCGTCGTGCTGAGAGCGTCATGCCTTTACGCAAGCTTGTCGTGGCTTTGGTTAGGCTCTGACAAGGGCACGCGACGTGGATCTGGAACCACGGAGATAGGTACGGTGAGCGGCAGGATGGTGTTTCAAAGATTGGGGATGACATCAGCTTTCATCAGGGATTGTCGACCCCTACCGAAGTTTGCTCTGACCTGTGCTGTGGCTTTGTTAGCGCGATGAGTGTGGAGGGGACCCTGATATACAGTATCAAACACAGTGCGACAACCTGAAACAGCGCCAAACGAGCTGCCGCTGCCGACGACTGGCACGGTACAGCCGGGTCGTGCCCCTTGGTGCTTGCGTGGTGCCGGAGCCCCGGCGGGACATGGGCAAAATCCCTTGCCCATGGCGAAATTGCGATGAACATCCTCGCCCAGCGCCAGCACTCCTTGGTCTGACGCCCGGCAGCACCCGCGACAACCATGATTCCATTGCGACGGGCAACCGGAGCAAAGCCACAAATGTCGCCTGCCAGGGCGTCTTCCGACGTGGACGCAAACAGCCCGGTGGCGGGCGTCAGCCAGGCAGTCTGATCGACGCCTCACGACGGGGTGAGACGGCCAGCCGCGAAACGAACAGCGAGGCCCTGGACCGTGCTATTTATACGCATTCATCATCAAGCAAGCGGCAGATCCCGACCCGGCTGGCTGATTGCATGCGGTGACGCGACAAGCACCAAGGGCGTGTCAGTTGAGCATTATCTCGTCATTAACGCTGGCCTTGCTCCAAGTAAGTCAGCCACCGACTGCGGCATCAGGTGTTCCCGCTGCCGTCGAGCTTACCTCGTCCTTGTCCAGGGATACGGGGCACGGATCAGCACGGGGCGACGAAACCCGGACCCTGTGAAGTCGCTGATGATGTCTGTGGGGAGCATCTGACGTTGCGGTTGAGGGCGGCTCATTGTGAAACCAACCTGATGGTGACGGGCGGCGGTAAACAAGCTTGTAGTGGCCACCACACAAACGTCGCCATTGCGAAACCGGCCATCTGCCAGCATGTGGTCGTCGCAGGCACGAGCACGCCCACAAATGCCTTGTGTGGCCGTTGCGAAAATCCATATTGCGGAGGACGTGACAGGCTGGCGAGCGAGACGCCTGCCACGCAAGATGGCCGGCGTAGGGGTTCTGAGACGCCGCCATCTGGTGAGGCCGCGTTGGCCCATGGCGACGACGAGATGTCTGGATTCAGTGGTTTTCTGCCGTGTCGACGCGCCAGCGCTTCGGCTGGCCGGCCGAGGTGAGACCCAGCCGCCGTCGCCACGGAGCCGGGCCGACCAGTCGCTGCACCGTCCTCCCGCTCTGTAAAGCTTGTCCGCGATGCGTCTCCGTAGCAGCTCGAGCTTCGAGGTTCTTGGCGCCTCTGCTTCAGGCGCAGGCGCCGTCCGAGCCAACCTCAAGAGCTCCTCGTCGCACAAAGCATGTGCGTGCGAATGTGTGAGCGCGTGGCGCGTGTGCGCTTGCCGGGCCTCTTATGTGCGGCAGCGGTCGCGACTGCTGCTCGCGTGCGGCCAGCCAGTGGAAGGAGGCGGCTGACGGAGATGCGATGCAGTGCACCGCCATTCGGAAGGCGTGACGCAGCGGCAGGTGCAGGAGGTGCAGCAGCAACAGCAGCACCACGGGCAACCACGTATGTATCAACAGACGACCTTGCAAGTGATGGCAGTGAGCAACCGCACCAGGGAAACTGCAAGAGTTGCTGATTGCTCCGTTTGTACAATGCTTCGTGGTCAACAAGCTCTACTGCGGGAGTCCATCATCAGCATCGGCAGCACGTCAGCAACACCATCGTGCAGCAATCGTCTTGTTTTGGCACCGCACACCCCCTTCCCGCCTGGACTCCTCCACTCTTGCCATCCCAGCGAGTGAGCGAGCGAGCCCAGCCCGGTCCCACCTGCCCGCAGACCCGCAGGCCCCTGCACGAAAGAGGAGGGCCCACGTCCCAAATTTGGCCCTGAGCGCCGTGATTGGCCGAGCCTTGCCGCCAGGCGTGTTGCGGGCGGCTATATTTAGGTCTCGCCGGGTTTGCGTCCCCTGCCTTGCTCCTGCCTTGCTCCTCCTGTCTGCTCCTGCCCTGAGCCTGTCCACGTCCGTGTGTGTCTTGTCTGTGTGTCTGTCTCGCACCTGGCGCCTTCTGGGAGGGAAAGCGGAGCCCCCCCTTCGATCCGTCCGTCCACTGGGCGTCGCATGTTTTTTTTGCCGCTCGTCGACTCGAGGCGTCGCAGGCTCTGCACAGGGGTTGGTTCGTGTGTGGCTTGCACTCGCTGCCGCGTGCAGCAGAGCTGTCTTTCACCACCGTTCGCTGAGGGGCTTCCACATTTGGGTCGTAGACGGCCCAAGCCCCCCGGCGACACCGGCCCACGGGGCCGCGAGAATTTGCTCGCCGGATTCTGTGGTCGTTCCGCGGAGCGCCCGCTGTATGCACTGCGCTACTCGTGCATGGCTGCCGATTGCGTGCATCGTCGACGTGGCGGACCGGCAGATGGCTTCGTAGGCTTCGTACATACATCGGTACGAAGCACACCTATCGTAGATGCTCTCACTGTGATGTGGGAGCAAACGATTCCAGGTCCATCAAACCGCCCCGGGTCCAGGGCCCCAACGGCGAACCACTCCACGGCGCAGCCCAATCAGCACCCGCCAACAGCTCCCCCGCCCCGGGCTGTCCAGGCGGCCTGGGGGGCAGGCTTCAGGGCAGTTTAACGTTCAGCCCGCTCAGCAGGAGCTGGGCAGCCTAGCGATCCTCCCTGCCTGGTCCCTGAAGCAGCCCGTCGCCCGTCCACGGCCGCCGTCTAAAACACGCCCGTTCCGGGCAGATGCTGCACGCTGGCCTGCAGTCGTCGTAGCTTCAGCGCATGCGCCAGAGGCTGAGGTGTACGCACAATTGGAAGCGTGCACTGCAGTATGTGCTCGACTGCCACAGTACGAGCAGACCTGAGCTGTCCGTTCGCCGCCTGCGCCACGCGCCGCGACCAACAGCCCACAGCGCACCTCCTCAACATCCTCCACCCTCAGGTCCCGTCCCATCGTCAGCCCGGGCTTGGGGGCTCACCGCGCCCCAAGAATCCATCCATCCGCACGCGCTACTCCGTAAAAAGGGTTCCTGTTGCGTTCCCTCGAACCCCCCCCTGACGCCGGCCAAACAGAGCACAGCTCAGCCCAGCACAACCCCGGCCCGGCCTGCTGGTCGCCTCCGTCCATCCTT